TATATGTATATGTATATGTATATATTTATATATATTTATATGTATATGTATATGTATATGTATATGTATACGTATATGTAAATGAATATGTATATGTATATGTATATGTATATGTATATGTATTTGTATATGTATATGTATATGTGCACATTTACACGTATATATATGCTTTTAGGGTTCAAACTCTAAAACCCTATCCCATACGAACAAGCATATGTTAGAGTATCGTACAAACGTACATATCAGATTCGGAATACTTTATATACTTACTTTCCCACTCTAAAATATGCACCTGACATAGACGTAGTATAGTTATCAAGAGTATTAATAACCCTATAGTTGAAACTCTTAACCTTTTCACATTTTCTCAAGTACCATACTCAGTGCGTTCGGATGCAGCGTCGTTACCGGTTGTACTCGAGTCTCAACAACGCATAGATTCCCATGACTGGCTAAGAGTTGCTCTATAAACTCACGATTCATGCGAAACTTGTAGTTCCTCCAGTCGACTTCACTGATTAAGAGAGAAGCAACTCTGACTCTCTGTTAGCAAGCAGTGGAGCAAGGGATACTCTAAATACTATTTAGTTACTTAGTTCGAACTTTGAAGCCTACTCTGTGCCTCTGTGGTGTGATGCAAACATATGTTTTTTCCTTTACTAATGTAGCTTTTATTTTCAAGAATAAACCCCCTCCCCCCCCGGTAAAACGATATCCATCGATCGCTCTTGTGGTATTATAAAATGGTTCGGGATTAAAATCATCAATCTTATCGCGCGATCTGTGGTGGATAGCCGGCGACTGCACATGGCAACCGTTAAAAAGTTTTTAACCCACCCACTCCAAATCCCCAACTCCCAAAAGAGTGGGTGACATTTCTTATAAAACAATAAAATTTGTACAATCGAAAAGAATTAAAACACCTACACGGCAAGCAATTTGCTGTGCTTTGCTTTTCTACTTTTATGTTCTATTTGCAGTGGTCTTTTTTAAAATAGGTGCCTGGTGCGTCATGAGTAGATTTTACTCTAGTCTCTATGCAACTCTTAAGCCGTATTAACTTCGTATGCCCACTTGCCCAGGGGGGGGGGGGGAGGGGTTGGGGGGTTGGCGCCTACCGAGTACCAGACTAGGCTAAAATGATACTCAAACCTTTACACAAAAAATCAAGCACTGTGAGAGCTAAAGAGTGGACGCTCAGCAATAATAAACTTGGGTACATGAAATTTATCCGTGCCTGACTGTCGACTGGCACATGCGCGTTAATCTATATAGTTATTGAACTTCTTTTTGATTGAGTTATTCATGCAATGACTGTGCTAAGGTAGTTTGAAACGACGCGATTTCAGCAATACTCATCCACAACCCCTAATAGATCGATATATCGATCCTCAATTTGTGACTTCTAGTATTATATCGATCGATAGCTTGTTATTTTCTTATAGTGATGAGTACAAACGGCAACACAATGAAGGTGGCGTGTTCGCAGTGCGACACACTCAATCACCTGTCCCACAATGCGCTGCAGGCACGCGCCTTCTTTTTCTGCACTGCTTGTGGTGTGAAGAGCACGCCCCCAGAAGACATGGCACAGCCCAATGGCCGTGTGCAGCACCCTCCCGCATACAACCATGTGCACACCTCAGCCACTAACTCACCCGCACACACCCCGCTGGTACCGAGCATCCACTCGACCCCCTCACGGCCACTGTCTTCGCAGTCTGCGCCATATCCCCTGAACAGACCAGTATCGTACAATGGCAGGGGCTCAGGGCCGGGTGTGTATCCAGCCCCACAGGCGAGCGCATATGCTCCGCCACATATACATGCATATCCCCCTTCGCATGTGTATCCCACAGTGCATTCCGTGCCCACACACCGCCAGACTTCGGTGCCTCTGCACAGCAGCGGTAACCTGTACCCTACATTGGATATGCACAACTTCGTCTCCAGTGAATCGCCACAGCTCACCAGTCACAGCTACCAGGACATCGCCGGTCACCGACGGGCCAGTGTGCAAAGCGACCGACACAGGTCTGAGCCTCGCCAATACCAGGCGTTCTATGCACCCGCGGTAAGGCCTAGCAATACTACGATGTGTATCTGCTTGTTATATACAGTGCCACACTAGAATTCGGAGATGATGGAAACTGATTGAACTTTCAAACAGTCTCTAATATCGGATTTGATAGTTAAGGTGTCTTAGACCTGATAGGTAGTATGTAGTTAGTGATCGTAATGTTTGTATTTCATAGTGTATGCATGCTGCGCAAGGGAGGCGACATCCACCCCACACTTTGTTGTCGGCGATAAAACTGCATGTATAGCCTTGACGATAAACGTGTCTTGTGATTATTGTACATTTGTGCATGCAACCCAACTCGTAACTAACTTACTATCCTCATGCATTGAACATCCGACCATACACACACACACACACACACACACACACACACACACACACACACACACA